ACCCGCGGGGGCCTTGGTCGAAAGCAGGAAATTGCTGCTGGACTGGGACTTGAATGTCCCATGGGAAGGAAGAGGCAGGGGTGACCGGTGTGGTCTGGGGGCAAGGTGTTGCCGCGGAAGCTGCCGCGGTTCCCAGCGTGCACTGCGCCGCCATCGAGCGGGAATTGGCGGAGTGCAATAAACGCAATATTTTGCGCAGGACGTTGCCGGCGCAACGCGCGGTGACAGGGCCCCCAGTTCGCGCCACTCACGCCACCTCCGCGCGCGCGCGGGGCAGGCGGTCGCTGCTGGATGGGGCGCGCGGCGGCCGCTCGATCCAAGGAGAGGGGCTGTCGCAGGCGCGTCGGCGACGCGCGAAGCCAAGTCCCCCCCCCCCCCCCGCGCCATCGGCAATCGTCGGGGTGATTCGGGGACGGCATTGGGCTCCGCGTTCATAGTGCCAATCCACTCCTGGGATGCAAGAACTGAGGCGCGGTTGAGTCTGCTGCCCAGGCTAGCTGTAAGTTCGGCAAGCATCATCTCATATCATGTACGGGCTCCGCTGGTAGAGAAGACCTTGTTCGCGACAGCTAACTCCATGGCCCTTCTGATGAGCGCCGCGGCCAAGTCTGACAGCTGGCAGGTCAGACGGCGAGCTGCCCAGCAACCCTCGGGGCCAAATTTCCAAAGGGCGAACGCCAGCCCGGACCGCTTTCGGGCGTCGCTCAGCAGCCCCCAACCATCATTTTTCGCATCGCCGAGGGCCATGTGGAAGTGCCGTCGAAGTCCCCCCCGGGCCCCGGGAATCGCCGAGGTCTCGAACGAGGCCCTCGCAACTCGGAACTTCCCGAAAATGCCACCCAGCAGGATAGGCGGGGACATGCTGGCGCCCCTTGAGGCGCGCTGACTCTGACATCTCCAAGCAAGCGTTTTGGCGCGATGGACACAGGCCGTCGGGGGCTGGAAGGCGCGCCGGGCCATCGGGGGCCCCGACCGCTCCTGCAAGTTGACCCCGGGGGCCCCCTTCGCTGTTAGACGTCGGGGTCGCGCTGGAATCGCGCCCAGCGAAGAAATGCGCCTTGGCCCAAAGTTTCCTTCCGAAGAGCTTTACGGCGCCCTTGGCTTTTCCCTCCGAGCTGCTGGGGGCCTTCAGATAGACCGAGTAGAAGCAGCGATCTCCGAGGGCTTGGCTTCGCATAGAACGCCTCGAGACCCCTTCCCCCATCGCGGTCGACTCCATCCCCGGGGGGCAAGCGCATCGATAAACTGGACGGCAGCGCCCGTGGCCACTTCCAAGGGCCCACTCAGCGCCTGTCTCCGGGAGCAGAGCGACCCCCCCCCCCCCCCCGCGCAGAAACGAAACAAAAGGCGCGGCGCCCATCCTCCCGCGCGCGCGCCCTGGCGGTTCCGGAGACGCCCGCTGAGCCGATGTTCCCTGGGGACCGCCGCGTCAGCATCGGCGTCCTGGAGCGCCTCGGGGAATCAATCCAGGTGGCCCAGTCTTCTCTGTGGCCCCCTCTTTGAGTTCCCGAGCATCGCCTTGCCGGCCGGGTCCATTGAGAGCGACTACCTCTAGACGCCCCACGGAGCTACGACGAGCGAGCCACTACCAGGAGAAGGGTGATTGATCGAGCATGGAAGCACCCACCCATTATTCGAGAACCTGTCAGCATCAACGCCACCTAGTTGCTCGAAGGGAACAAGGAAACTATCCACGCGAGATCATATATGGTCAGAGCTACGAGTGCACGCGCCACCAAAACTATTACCATGCATGCTGCGTGAAATATTCCTCCTGCTGGTGAACCTCTCGCCTTGAGACATGGGGGAACTGCTAGCTTTCATCCATGCGTCATGCCCTAGCGCCCCGAGGAACGGGCTACTGTCGTGACAATATTGCTCAGCCCACGCGGCATAGGACAGATAGGGAAGATTGCACCAACACTAACTGCTTGACCCAACCCGACCTGATGATGTTAGAGCTGGCGGTGCTCATGTTTTCCCTCTGGTCGATCCCAGCTGGAAACATGCGAGCTGCGAAACAGCTGAGGCCATGCCTGCTTGAGGCAACCTTCTCTCGCTCAACGTCGGGCCACATCTTCAGTCCACCCGCGTCGTGGCCTGAAACCTCTCGCTCCTGGGGCATGCACATCCCAATCCACGCGGGCTGCAATCGACATACCGGATGGAAGTACCCACTCACCGAGAAACTGTCAACATCGCCACCAAGCTGCTCAGGAAGTGTTGACGGGAAACGGTCCGTTGATGGAATGTGTCCAACACTGCTAGTGGGATCAGAACCACCTCTGGACCAGTGGTATACCTCACTGTCAAAGATCCTACTGGCAGTCTGGGTGCTGAAAGTCGCCCCCTCCTTTGACTTTGCCACATCGTCTGGGTTCCTTCAGCCTCGCCTTCTGACTTGCCCCAAAGATCCTTTTCCCCGATCTGCCTCTCGATTGCTCCCGATACCTCCAACAATCTGCACAATTGCACCAGGTCTGGTTCATCCATCTCTGTGGTTCCTACTGGAGCATCGCAGCCACATGGTCGTACCCCTGCTGAGAAGGGGGCATTCGTGTGGAAGGTGCGGTCGGTGAAAAAACGAGAGGTCTCCAGAAGGGCTGTAAATTTAGCCTCCAACGCCGAGTTGGTGTCGGAGCCCCTAGCTGAATCCAGTGCCCCTGGACATCGGAAAACTGCATCGTGAAAGCGGAGAAGTCGAGTGGTGTAATGGCAGAAAACCGAAAAAACATCACCCTTTTGCTCTCCTCCAGGGCTGCCTTGTCCTCCCGACTGAAATCCTCCAACGCCTCCCGTGACCCGGAAAAGTCTTCAATCTGCTGCACCGCGTGAGCATGATAAGCTTCCAAGTTCGAAAGGAGTTTGAACGATTCGCTTCTCTTCGTTTTGCGCAGAGAAGCATTAGCTGGAAGGAATGGACGGCTTCCGACCCATCTAGGCCCCTGTCCACGCCTTACGAATTGCCTGATCAGAAGTATCAAGGAGAACGCTCTTGAATTGTCCCACCGCACACTGGTTAAACCAGCGGAATTACTCAAGGGCCCTTGCGTCAGGTTTTGGCGATTCACCATAGCCTCCCCCAGAGCCCGTTCCCGCAGCCTTCTCACCAGCATATCCTTTCTTCCCGCCTGTTCCCTTCCCTTTCCCGCCAGCGCTGCTCTGTCCTTTTTCCCTCAAGGTCCACCATCTCCTCCAAGATACGCCCAGGGAACCCTAGGCCAGAATCTCGAAGAAGGGCTCGGGTGAGGGAGGCGAGGAACAGTACCTTCGCAGTGGTGGCAAACCACAGAATGCGATGGGCTCGTCTTGCATCCGCACGCTGGGCACGTGATCCCAGTCTGCGCAGATCAGAGATTGCCCCAACGGGCCATCACCTACGGAACTGAGCGAGCGCGTGCCCGAGCACTGAAGCTTGGACGAAAACAGATGAAGTCGAGCGCCCCCTCGATGGCCCTCGCAGAACGGCGGAAATAGCCCCGCGACGCGGGCTTCGACATTGAGCCGGCACGGCTATGATCGTCACGTTCCTCCCCATCCTCTCCTCCCCCTTCTACTCCTTCCTTTCCTGCTCCATCATCATCGTCAGCAACATTGTGGGATCGCCATGCCCTGCGCTCTTGTGCCTGCATGTGCACTTCGGCCTGAGCCTGCTGTCGCCTCGGAGACCCTGTTGGGCGGTGCGGCCTGTGGGTTTCTGGAACGGCTCCGCGATTAGAATACTGGCGCCCCGTAAGTGGATGTTCTCATCATCATCATCATCATCATCATCATCATCATCATCATCATCATCATCATCATCATCATCATCATCATCATCATCATCATCATCAGCATCATCATCATCAGCAGCAGCAGCAGCAATAGCATCATCAGCAACAGCATCAACATCATCAGCATCATCATCAGCAATATCGTCGTCCTCCTCCTCCTCCTTCTCCTACTCCTCATCATCAGCATCATCATCACCACCACCACCACCGCCATCAGCATAATCATTATCAACATCGTCATCAGCATCATCAGCATCATCATTACCAGAATCAGCATCATCATAACCAGCATCGTCATCGTCGTCAGCATCATCAGCATCATCATCGACAGCCTCGTCATCATCATCATCATCATCATCATCATCATCATCACCATAATCATCATCATCATGTCATCCTCATCATCATCATCATCATCAGCATCATCATCCTTACTAGCAGCATCATCACTGTAATTATTATCATCAGCAACAGCATCATCATCATTATCAATGTCATCGCATTTACCATCGTCATAGTCGTCGTCATCATCCTCATCATCACCACCAACATCACCATCAACATCCCCACCATTACCCACCACCACCACTACCAGAATCGCCATCACCCTCCTCGACCACGCCCTCCTCCTCATCATCGACTCCGTCTGCGTCCCCTTCCGCGCCCGTCAATTGAACCGCACGACGAGCGAGCAAAAACGGGGAGAACAATCGGCGCGACGGCAGCCGTGTCGTCGGCGCGAGTGCGCGCGCACGAATCCACGGCGCTCTCGTCCTCGGCCTGCTTGTACTGCTGCTACACGGCCAGCCATCTCGTTCAGGATAATTACGTCGAAGCGCGCGCCGCCCACCACCCCCCATTGTCAAAGGCACGCCAAACTTCGAAGTGGCACTGGCGGCCCGAGCAGTGGTCTGGACTCTGCGATCGCCCAGATAACGCTGCGTCGTCTCCTCGACAGCAGATTCCTGAACATAGACCTGTTCCCCCCACTCTTCCGCACCCTCCTCCTCCTCCTCACCCTCCTCCAACTCCTCCTCCTCCTCCTCCTCCTCCTCCTCCTCCTCCTCCTCCTCCTCCTCCTCCTCCTCCCTCCTCTCATCCTTCTCGCGTTGCTCCGTCAACTTCAGCCCGCATCGGAAGAGAAAAAGAAAAATGAGAGAAGATGACGATGACGAAACCCGCGCGCCCATGTGCTGCGCGCGCGCGCCGGCGGACGCGGGTCCCCACCTGATGGTCGTCGCCCTCGCCGTCCATCCACAGCATGTCTGGGGCGCTCCTGCGCGCTGGAGTAGCTCCCGCGAGGCACGAGGGGACGAGTGCCTTTCCACCCATTCACCGATCCCCCTCCCCATTCTTCCTACTGCAAGTTTAGCAGAACAGTGGAACGGAGGATGGGACACTTTTTCTAAGAAGAGAGATAGAGGTAACACAAGGTGTCGTGCCGCGGTTCCGCGGACTTCAAACCTGGAGCCAAACGCCAGCGGTTGCACAGTGACCTGGGGCCTCATGCCGAAACACCCCCCTCGACCTGATGATCCAGGTCAAGCCGGCCACGTGCAACCTTATAAACATGTGCGTGGCCACTGGTGGAAGCTGGAGCTAACTCGACAGCACAAAAGCCGTGACGTTTTGAGCATGGTAGCGAACAACCTGCACGAGTACGAAATCCTTGCACGCTACAGGGTGAATGACGCCCAGAAGTAAAACACATGCACGGCGAATGCAACTGGACGGCATAAGATCTCCGCTGTGTCTCTGATTACCACGACGGTCAAAGTGCCCACATTCACTGGACAATGTTCCGTGGCTGCTCGCGCGACAGACCTGAGAGCAGGAAGAGGCAAGGCAAGGCAAGGCGCGCCTGAGTCCGCCGGGGAGCCGGGGCCTGGAAGGCCGGCGCGGGCGGGCCGGGGCCCTGGAAGGTCCGCCGGGGCGGCGAGAGCAAGAAGAGGTAGGAATGGAATCTTGCGCCTACCGATTGCCGCTCACCCTGGACGCCGGGGTGGCGCTGAGCTCGACCTCGGGTGCCTGCCACGCCTTGACCAAACGATGCGATCATGCTCGTCCTGCTGGTCACGCTTCCTGTTCACCATGCGCTGGCGGTCGGTGCTGCCCGTGAAGCGGTCGTCGTTCTAGGCATCCCCCTCCTCTTCGCTGTCAGCCCAGGCCCCCGGGAACTCGAAGTTGTCTTTGGGCAACTTCGCCGACGTCTGGTCATGGATTCAATGGGAACGCCCCGCGCACCACCAACAATCGACGCCTGGGAACCTGACGATAAGCGTCGACCAGTCGCTTCTTGCGCGCAACATCCTCGCATCTGAAGTTCAGATTTCTGACATGACGCAGTCGTTGGTGAATCGGGCGTCTTAAAGCAGCCCTAGGCCAATCATCAGGCAGTTCTCACGCATGCAATAAGCTGATTTTCAGCGCTGTTATCTTGAAGGGACGGGGCAGCTCATCAGCTGTACAACTCGTTCCCAGTTCTCCACTACCGCGCTCCACTATTCCAATTGAACCGAAGTGCCATTTACCATCTTGGGGCTCTCAAATTTCATGGATGAGGTCAGATTGGCTGATCGGCTTACTCCGTTACTGCAGAATACCACTGGAATCGAACTATAACTATATATACACATGATATGATACAGATACAAACATGTGTATATATATATAATATATATATATATATATATATTTATATATATATATATATATATAATTATATATTATATATATATATATATATATATATATATATATGTATATGGCTCGTGCGCTGCGCACCGTTTCGGTCGTGGCCGCCGAGCCTACCTCAGCGGCCATTCCGTCCATAGATTCCAATGTCGAACGCCATGCTTTGAACGCCTTGCGGTTTCCACTGTTGGCCTGCACCAATGCGTGAAGCAGCCGCTCATTCCAGTCACGGAACCTCGTCCTGTCTCCACTGAAACTTCTTCACGACTGTATGGCTTTCGACTCGCGTATGGGCATCTGCTGCGTAACATTACTGGTTGACCGTACCTAAACGGCTAGTTGTGCAAGAATTGCGTTTTCAGATCCCAACGCGGCCACTCGCGACTTCAGAATGTCAGATCCCATCTCGCGCCTGTTATCACGGTTGATCATGCTCGGAAATGCTGCGCTGGACTTTTCAACCGTCTTCATCAGTGGCACCGCGAGCTCATGGGACAGCTCTTGGTTACCTGAGCGTTCTTGTTCGCCCCAGTTTGTCATTGCGTCACAGGGCAGCTCTGACGAACTCACAGTCGCCTTGGTCGTGCCCCCGATTGCGAAAACGGCATCGGCCTGCGCGGGGTGGGCCATCGGGCCATCTGTAAGCGATCAGTGGGCGATTGACTTCCCAGCTCTGGCGGGTTGCCGCTTTCGGGCCTGCTTTTGTTTTTGTTGTCTCTCTCTCTCTCTCGTTCTCTTCCTCTCTCTCTTTCTCTCTCTCTCTCTCTCTCTCTCTCTCTCTCTCTCTCTCTCTATGTATACAGATGTATATGTGTATATATATATATATATATATATATATATATATATAATATATATATATATATATATATATATATATATATATATATATATATATATATATATATATATATATATATATAGATTACGTGTGTGTATACATATAGATTCGCTGGGCCCCTGGGGACGAGGGTAGGGGGGTGGGCGAGGGGGCGAGGGCAAGGCGGGAGAGGAGGGGGCAAGGTGGTAACGAGGAAGGGAGAAGGGGGAGGAGGGGGATAGGAAGAGAATACCCCTTCCCCCCTGCGCCTGCCCCCGCCGCAGTGGCTGCCTCTCTGAGCGCACCCCGCCCCAATGCAACGTTGGCCCTGATGCGCAGGGACGACCCCCGCCACATGCTGGATGCGTGGCCAGCCAGTGACGCGGCGCCGCGTGCGGCGGACGGCGCGGTGGCGGGCGCTGCGAGCGGCCGCGTGGCGTGCACCGCGCAGCCCGGTGTGGTGGAGCGCCACAGGCCCCGTGAGCGGGGACTCCGGCTGTGCGGCTGGAGGTTCTCGGCAGCTCAGCCGCCCAGTTCTCAGAAGCTGACCGGCTCGGCAAGACGCAGACATGAGTAACTACCCCCCACGTCGTAGCAACTCCTAAGCAAGGCCTTATGCAGATCGCAGCTCAAAAAAAGCGAACATCCGAGCTGAGCCCCTGTAGCTGCTGGAAACGAGCGCGACCCGCCACCCCCTAGATGTCGATCACCCCCGAACCGCGCTGCCTCAGCCTCTAGTCGACCCTTCCCCTCCCCTGGCCCCACCCCTGCCCCAGATCTCCTCCAACTTCCTGGTCCCGTCCCCTTCCTGGTACACTCCCCTCCTCTAGTCCTCTCGCCCCGCCTCCCCTTAGCACTTAGGTCCCTGCCCTCCCATGGTCACCCTCCTCGCCCCGATATGATCAACCTGACTACGGCAGGTTCGCGTCGTGTCGACCCCGGCGTTGGTTTCTGACACCGCGGGGATCGTTCAACCTTGAACGATCGGCCGTTTCCGAAACGTCCAAATCGTTCCACATCGAACGATTCTGGGTCGCCCGCGGCGTTCAAGGTTGAACGCCGCTGGCGGGGCCGCCGCCGGTCGACACGACACTAACCTACCGTACCTACCAAACCCCCCCAACCCAGCCCGAAGATCAAAATTTCGGTTTGGGGGGGTACATGCTCCACATGTATTTTTTCAATGTTGCCCAACACCCCCACTGGGAATGGAAGGAACATTGGGGCCTTCGGGTCAGGTTGGGGTGGTTTGGTGGGTGGTAACAATCAACCGACTTGTCCCAAGGCCGTGTTAACGGCAATCTTGCTTAACGGTGATGCGGTGAAACAAACAAATTGCAGGATATCACGAAACTCATTTTCATCTACAGTTCCAATCTGCGAATTCATCGAGCGATCACGACACAACGAATTGCAAACACGCATGAACCACGCGTTCTCACAATAGCGAAACCTAATCGCCGTTACCTAAATCGCCGTTAGCCCGTCTACGGCAGTCAACCAACTATCCCACAAGCAAACACAATAGCCTGGTACCCAGACAGCGACCGCGGCCAACTGGCTGGCCCTCCTCCGCCGATCTTTCCCCTCGTCCCGCTACTCCTCCCTCTACCTCGTAATCCTGCTGCTGCTGCTGCTGCTGTTTCTCTGTCTTCCCCCTCCCTTCTCATACTCCTCCTCGTCATTCTGCACATTTTCCTGCACATTCACCACATCCTCCTCGTCCTCCTCCTCCGTTCCTTCTCCTTTTGCTTATGAGCAACTCCTCCCTCTCGCGCCCCTAGGCCGGTCGAAAGGGCGGGCCGGGTGCTTCGCCTGAGACTTCTGCACCATTGACGAGCCTCAAGCTTTCTCACGAATTGAGGGCAGGTGGTCTTCAAAATGCGGCGCTCGCCTAAGCGCCGCGCACCTTTGTTTCAAAAAACTTCCAGAGTTTGATGGATTGAGGGCGGTTCCTTTGCAAATGTGCCTTTCGCCTTAGCGCCGCGTGCAGTCTGCTCAATAATACAAGAGCTTCACGGATTGAGGACGCTCCTTTTCAAAAAGTGGCTCTCGCCTTAGCGCCGCGCACATTCATTTCGAAGATTTGCCAGAGCTTCACGGATTGAGGTCGGTTCGTTTCCAAAATATTGTTCTCGCCTTAGCGCTGCGCACATTCGTTCCAAATGTTGCGTGATTTGCAATGATTCGGATGGTTAACGTACCAGAATAATACAGTGGAGCGATTCAAGATTGTCAGGGCGCAGCAGTTACGTTGATTCGCTGTGTTGAAGTTCCAGGAGCGTTCTGGTGCGATTCCGGATCGTCAGGAGTTCCAGGAATGGTGTTCAGGCACGATTCCCTCAGTGGAAACGAACCCTTGTGGGGGCTTATGAAGAGGGTTCCAACATCGTTGATGAGTCTTGGGTTTACTCTGGTTTTCCTCCTCCTCTTCCTCCTTGAGCTCATCCTCCTCCTCCTACAACTCCTCCTACAATGTGCACAGCTCCCTGTCCTGATTGCGCGTAACACGCCGGGGCAGTTTGGGGGCTTCAAGGGCTGCTGCGACTTCCGTCGGCCGAAAGAAAAATAAAACAGCTGCGGGGTGTGGGAAGGGTATGATGTCAGATGGCGCGAGCGCGCCTAGCTTGTCCCTCCCCCCCCCTCCGCCCCTCTTCCCTCTTCTCCCAATTATACTGGGCAGTTTTTTTTATAATGATTAATTTATGAATGAACTTATGTATGAGCTCATCGTTGCTCTTTTAATACTAAATCCCTGCATTTTTTTATACATGATCCGCACGCGGAGCACGTATTGAAAATGGCACTGTACCTGCCTCTCCCCAAACCGACCAGTGACAATGCGAACATCCCCCCTACCACCCCTGCAAAGCAGCAATTCAAAAAGCATTTCGCGCCATGTCCAGACCACGTCCCGGCGCCCCGCGACCACTTTGCATTGCCTGTTTGACCCCGACGGCGGGGGTGTCAATACGATGCCTCGTGCGCGCAGGCCCACCGTTCCCTGTCAAAAACCAGTGCACCGCGAAGAAAAAACATGATCATCCATCGACATCGGGGGCGGCCAAGAGGGGGGCATCCAAGAGGGGGGGCGCAAATCATGGCCGGCGGCATGTGCGCGGCCCAGGGGGGGCCCAGGAACGTATTGAAATAAGAAGAGGCGCAATGAAATCTGGGGAAATATCATGGCCCCTGCCATGATATCCACCACCCCCTAGTCATCACCCCCCGCGTTGCCGCCCCCGACGACAGGAATGACGGGTATTCTCTGGCAAGGGCGGCACACCTCGCGGGCATCGCGCACCCGGCTTGCGTCTGCATTGGCCCCCGGTGGTTGTCGATAGCGGCCCCTGAGGCTCGGGTGCCACGTATGTGTTGAGGAGGGCCGGTGGGAGGGCGCGAGCGAGACGACCGTCCTTCAGGGAGGTGGAAGCTTGACCCCACCCGTACCCTCTCTAGAGGAAGGAAAAACTTCGGGAAACAAGCAATGACATAAACAAAAAAATTCGGAGGTCCGCGCGGATTGCTCAGATCGGCACTGGACCTCCCCCCTCCCTGGCGCGCTCCGCGCGCCAGGGGCGGCGCTGAAGGCGCCGCCAGGTGGCCCCAGCGCCGATCCGGGAAATCCTCGCGGACCTCCGAGCCTTCCTGTTCATGTCATTGCTCGTTCCCCCAAACCTTCGACGGTCTGGGCGGGTTCCTCTCAGGCCGGCGCTGGACGCCCCCTCCCCGGCGCGCGGAGCGCGCCGGGGGGCGGCGCCGGAGGCGCCACCACGGGGGGTCTCCAGCGCCGGCCCGAGAGGCCCGCGCGGACCGTCGAGGGTTTGCAGCGGAGGCCAGGCCACAGGAAGCCGTCCACAAGAAGCCCAGCCCTGAGGCCCCAGGACGTCCATCGGTTTTGGTGTGGGGACGTCACGTTTTCCATCGCAGAACCATCGAAACCCAGGAAACCCAGGGCACCCTGGAGGCAAGCAGGATGTTTCTTGGCATGGGTCTCCACTGCATGTTTGTGCCGTGTTTTGTTTTTCGATTGACCCCACCCGTAGCCTCTCGTCTGGCGCGCGGGCGTGATCGGACCTCGCAGGAGAGTCGGCGGCGTGCACGAGGGGGTTGGAGGGAGAGGGGGAGAGCTTCTTAGGAGGAGGCAGCTTCTGAGAAGGTGCCCGCCTTGCGCCCAGAGATCCCCCTCTGCGCGCGGCTGACTCTTGTCTGGCGCGCTGGCGCAATCGGACGGCGCAGAAGAGCGCACGGCACCGATCCAGTAGCTCACCACGGGCGTCATGCCAGCCTCGAGCGCCCCGTGGAGCTCATCCATGCCCTCGGTGGTGCGTCGATGGGGGGGGCGAGGCCTTCTCCTCCTCCTCCTCTCTCCCTCCCTCCCTCCCTCCCTCCCTCGCTGCTCCTCCGCCTCCTCCTCCTCCTCCGCCTCCTCGTCCTCATCCTCTTCCTCCTCCTCCACATGCTGCTCCCACCTCCTCCTCCTCCTCCACCTCCTCCTCCTCCTCCTACTCCTCCACATGTTGCTCCCTCCTCCCTCCTTCCTCCGTCTCTCTCTCTCTCTCTCATGTTTGTGTATCCAGGAAGGCCCTAAGTCAGCTCCGCGAGGGCAACAGGGGCCCCAAGGAGGGATCCAAGAAGGCCCCCATCTCTATCCCAAGCCCTCTATATCCGCCGCCGTGCCTCTGACACGAAGTGGAGTGTCCTAAGGCTCATGCAGTCCTAAGATCTAGAGGAGTTGTAAGGTTCTAAAGGGCCTGGACCCTGGTTTCCCAGGCGGTCCTGGGGTGTGTCGCGTGGGCCTCCACGGCGGTGACCCGCCGAAAACAGCCCGAAACAAAACCACTGAATTCTTCATGCTCGCCCACGAGGGTGCAACAGAGCCCCGAGACGGCCCAAAAAGGCTCCCAGACTGGCTACGACGCCCTCCAAATGGCCAAAGATGCCTCCAGGACGCCCCAAGAGCCCTCTGAGAGTACTCTCCAGAGGGCCCCGAGAGGCCAAAATCATTGATTGTGTATGGGTTCTTAATGTTTGGGGCATCCTCTGCTTTTCAAGCTTCCTACGCTACAAGACAGTCCAAGAGGCCCCCCAGACCGCCCCAAGACGGCCCAAGAGGCCGCCAAGAGGGCCCCAGACTGCTCAAGGGGGCTCCAAGACAGTACAAGAGGGGCCCAGGACGGCCCAAAAAAAGCCCCAAGAAGGGTCCAAGAGGGAGAACACGAACAAAAGATCCCAGTCTTTCGCCACAAGATGCCCCCAGGATGCCCCAATGAGGCGCCAAGGGGGCCCCAATAGGCCCAAGAGACCCCCAAGAGGCCCTCAAAACGCCTCAAGAAGCCCCCAAACGGCTCCCGAGAGGCCTGAAAACGGCCCCCGAGAGGCCCCCCGCGACATCCCAACGAACATATTAGAGGCATACGACCCACAACCCAGGCACGGTGGCGATATGGGTCAAAGGCCATTCGAATGGAACCCTTGCCTCGCAAGTTAGTTTTTTCTTCTGGTGTTGGCAATCATGCTTCCCTCCTTGCGTACCTACCGGCATCCCGCCCTGGCACCCCAACCCTAGCAACCTCCTCGTCCTTCGCCATGTCCACCTGTCCGTCGTCAATCCTGTCGTCCTCAATCGCGAAAGCCATTTATCTTCATTGGCTCTCTCCGTTGGGTTTCGTCGCCCACAGTACGTCCCAGTAGATTCCCCCGCGTAGCAGCTCCTCTCCGCCTTCCCATCTACCTCTTCCTCTCATCGCCGTTCCCCTCGTGCCCTTCTTCACCCGCTCGCTCTCTCTCTCTCTCTCTCTCTGGGTTTTTTTCTGTAGTTGACTGGGGGCACGGTGGCTGGCGGAGATCTTCGGTGGGGGCCAATGCACCCTGGAAAAGGGACTTGAACATAACTCCCCCCGGCACACCAAGACATATCATCACTCGGTTGGTCTGCAATCCCGTGGCATGTTTCAGAAAGTGAAGAATTCATGGGACAGAGATGCGCACAGGGGTGGCGCCAGAAGTTGCAGCTCTGCCCCTATCCCACATGCCAACCCCATCCCTCTACAAAAGCTGAGCAGTCAGCTGAGAACATACAAGCAGCCACCGCGCGCTCAACGAAACTCCAGGTAACCAAGTTGCCTTTGAAGGGGCCCTGAGACACACAAATTAATACACACAAGTAAAAAATGCCCTATATGTTCCCATATCTTCTGGGTTTTTGTCCCCCCCCCACTTCCCACATGTTCCCATATTTTCCTGGGGATCGACGATGAATTGTGTCTGTGTGTTCCCCCTCCTGACAAAGATCAGCAACATCTGGAGAACGCGCAGGGAAGATGCAAGACCTTCGGACGCCCACCGTGAAGCCTTCTGAAACGTGTACGGCCACAAAAACCTACGAACACGATGGTACACTAGGTAGGAAGTAAAAGGAAAAAGAACCATGCACATACACCGATTTTGGCCAAGTCCATCCTGGGCCCAAGATCGGCGCATACGCCCTCCTGCCTTGGCCAGGAAGGCATATGCACCGACAGACAGGCAAACAGAGGGCCAAACGCCTGGGGGCGCGTCGGCAGGCGCTACTGCAGCGCACTCACGTGTTTCCTCCAAGCACGTTCGTTTTGCACAAGGTCTTCCCACCGAATATGTTCGCCTGATAGCTGCCGCGCACGCGGCAATAGGATCTTATCCCATTCCAGTCTGGGTCTCCCGGCCTTCCTGACGTAGTGGTCAGTGACGAGCGTAAAAGTGCCGGGGAGGAAAATCGATTCTCGAAGTGGATCTCCAGGCTCTGCTCTCGCTGCCTTTCCAAACAGAAGAAGCTGTCACTTGAGAAAGACATTTGTCCAAGGCTCTTGTCGCGTCCGGGCCCGGATGCTCGCGTTAGACACGCGCGAGAACATTGGGTGCTTGACCCCGCAGAGGGCTCGCAGCATCCGGCAGTGTGCCCCGTCCAGGCGACGCCGTTCTGCAGCATTCAGAGATGCTGTGCTCAAGCTGTAGAAGAGTTTTGGTGATGATGGCGTTGAACAGCTGTCGATCTTCCGTCTTTCTTCGATGCTCGTGTGCCCCCAGACTTTCTTGAGCCTGGAGCACTCTGCATATGCCATGCCAAACCGTCGGTTAAGCTCACTCCCTACCCTGCCGTCGCTGCTGATGGTGGTGTCGAGGTAAGACATATTATCTGTGGCTGAAATGGCCTCTCCCGTAAGAGTGTGGACATCTCCACTGCATTGGAGGCGCATCAATTGCAGTTTCCCCCAGTTTCCCCCAGTTTCCCCCATATGCACCGATCCTGGGGCCAAGGACGGGCCTGGCCAGGACCGGTGCATGTGCATAGTTCTCTTCGCCCGAGCATGGCTCGTCGTATAAGTTGATGTTGACCGTGTCTTGGCGCTGGCCCCCCTGCGAAGATGAGATATGCTGGTCAGACCCGCTGATCACGCGGAGATTGCGCCCTGCGCCTCGAACCGCTCCGCTGTGAAAGAGGATTGCAGCGCCGCCTGAGAGCAGATTGCCGTGCACGTCGCCCGCGTCGGGGCACCTGCACCAAGACGCCTGGCTTCCGGGAGGGCCTGCTTGGAGAGCGAGGGCCTCTTGCAGCTGAAGGGTCAGAGCGCCGCAACCACTCCGCGCCATGGATCTGGCACGTGGAACCAGCGGCAGGCCCGTGGCCGCCGTGGAGCCCGCCTGGCGTCCGCGGTCCAGGGGAGAAAGCATTCTGAGCCTACGGATTCCCCCCCTCCTCCTCCTCCTCCTCCCCCTGCTGCTGCTGCTCCTCCTCCGCCACAGCCGCTGGCGATGTAGATTAAGAGGCCGCACAGGCGCCGCCGTTCCCGCAAAGCGGAGATTTCAGGCGGGCAGTATTTTTCTTCGCCCACGCGCTGCGGCGTATGGCATGACTGACCAAATACCGACACCGATGCTCCGCGGCCCGCTCCCGGAATGCGTTCTGCCCAGAACTTCCCGGTGAATCCAGCCCTGGCGCCTTGGGCTCCCCCAGCATAAAGCAGCGGCATCGGCACTCCGAATTTCATAATTAACAAGGCGACAAGGGGTGTCTAATTTGCGGGGGTGTGGATGAGCTGTCTTGGAAGGTTCTGAGGGGTCTTGGCAATGGCCGCCCGCTAATGATCTAATGACTGGTCTGGGGGGGAATCTGTAACGGCTCGTCCGGGAAGTTCGAGGGAAGTGTTCCCCAGGCTGTCATGCGTTCTCTGTCCTGAGTCCTGTATTGTATTGTTCTAGGGGCTTGGGGCCCCACATTCTCGGACTGCTCGAGCTCCAATTAGCAGTGCGGCGCTCTGCTAGTTTGCTTCAATACATACGCACTCGCTGCTCCATCCCTCATTAGCAGAGCGCTGCTCTATTAATTGGCCTCAATACAGGGTTGGGCTAGGATTAGCAGAACGTCGCTCTGCTCATTGGCCTCAGAGCATGTGCGCGTTCACTGCTCCTCCTCTCACTCGCAGAGCGCCGCTCTGCTAATTTGACTCAGAGCATGCGCACTCGCTGCTCATGCTTTATTCACCCGAGGGTCCCAAAACGGCCAAGAGGGCCCCAAGAAGCGCCCAAGAAGTTCCTAGAGGCCTACAAGACGGCCAAAGAGCGCTCCAATACGCCCAAGATGGCCCCAAGACGGCTCAAGAGGCCCCACATAAGCCCCAAGGGCGATCCAAGAGGACCTCCCAAAGCGCCCCAAGATGAAAACATCACGTATGTTCGATGCGTTTTTCTATACTATTCGCGTTCTCGCGTTTGCGGGCTTACGATGCTCCAAGATGGTCGATGGCCCCAGAGGCCCCCAAGACCGCCCCAAGACTGCCCAACAGGCCGCCAAGAGGGCCCCAAGACGGCCCAAGGGGGCCCCAAAACGGCCCAAGAGGAGTCCAAGACTGCCCAAGAGAGTCCCAGGACTGCCCAAATAGAAACCCAAGAGGGGAACACGAACCGACAATTCGAGCATTCCCCCCCAAGAATCTCTCAGGAAGCCTCAAGAAGCCTCCACGAGGCCCCCAAGAGGCCCAAAAAGAGGCCCCGCCCCCAAAGGCCCCACGAGGCCCCCAAGAGGCCCAACGAGAAGCCGCAAGAGGCCCCCAAACGGCTGTCAGAGGGCTTCAAACCTGCAGCCAAGAGACCCCCGAGAGGCCTCCCACAATATTGTACGAATATCCAATAGACCTCTAACTCACAACCCAGGTTAGGTGGTGGGATGGACCGAAGGCCACTAGATACATTCAACCCGTATAAGAAGAACGAACGACAAGGATGCAAGGGCCTCGGAAGGCCATGTCAACACTTTGCGAGCGGGGCGCGGCCAGCGAAAGCGGCCAAGGATGGGCCGAAGGGGAAGGATGCAAGAGTAACCTTTGAAAGTCGCTCATCATTACTATGCCGGTTGACTGTATTATAGAAGTCGGAGTACCTTGTCCTCGTCTGACGAAAGTGGTGTGAGCTCCAGGCTTCAGAGCGCTCCCAAGAGACCCGCAACAAAAAAAGACCCTGGGCTCCGCGACGCGCGGCGCGAAGAGGCCACCTCCGCCCCTCACGCGCCGCCCCCCCGCAGGAAGGGCACATCTTCTCGCCCCCGCAGGCCGGCGAGGCGCGAAGAGGGGCTATGTTCAGGCAGGGCGACGACGACGACGCCAATGACGACAACAGCAACGACGATAACGACGACAACCACGACGACGATGACGACGACGACGACGACCACGACCACAACGATTGACGACGACGACGACCACGACGACCACGACCACGACAAGGCCAACGACGATGACGGCGACGACGACGACAGCGACGGCGACGACGGCGACGACAACGACGACGACAACGACGACGGAGACGACGACGACGACCCCGGCACTCGCCCTCCCCCTGGGCACGCACGAAGTGGGCAGCGTCAGTGTGGACGACGCCCGACAGCGATCGCTGCCCAAAACTGGCAGTGGTTGCTGCTCGGCAGATGACCTTCGCCTTCAAATGCACACCGCTCGCGGCGAAGCCTGCTCAGCACGACTGCAGGTGGCCACATCCAAACCCTACCCCACCAACTATCGATTCTCCTCAATCGATGGGAGGAGGGGGAAAGGGTTTCGCCTTCGCCACGTGGTCAACGCCTTCCGAACCCTACCCCCGCCGCCCATCGAGTTGCCTGACTCGTTGACCGGCCAGAGCAAGAACTGTTGCTGCCAGTCTTCCCCACCCTTCCCGCCCCATTTCGGCTCTCCCGGCCCTCCCACCCCTCCCCTCCCTGCCGCCGCAAAGGGGGCCGACCATGCCTGCGACCCGACGGCTCCCACTGGCCTTGGGCGTTGCCCTGAGGGGGGGGAACGATGGCGGGGGGCGAAAAAGCGTGGATTTGTTCGTGCCCCTCTCGCTTCTGCGCCCCAAAGGTCCCCTTGAGGAACCTCAGGCGCACGAGCGGGGGGCCATAAATGGAGGGGGGGCGAAGACGCATGCTTGTTGCGCCCCCCTGTGGGCCTCTTGTGGGCCCTTCGGAGACCCTAGGGTGCACGAAAGGTGCGCCTTTCTTTGAGTGGTGCCCAGGGACAGACAAATAAATGGACACAGATCTAGGATTCCCAGAACATGTTCCAAATTTTCTGGATATCCGTCTCCCCCTCCACTTCACACACTGTCCACATCTTCTCTGGGCATCGGCGATTACTTGTGTTTGCGCGGCTATTTTCCACCTGATGCTTGATTCCCCTTTTACATCGGCCCCCCCTTACGCAACGACCGACCGGCCCCTGGCGGCGCGCATCCGGGCGCCTGGTACTCGTCAAGGTTCAGCGTGAGCTCGCAGTCGTGGCCCGTCTGAAAGCGCGGCGGGAGGAGGCGCCGCGAGGGCCGAGGACCCGCCAGCGGCCTGCGCCCGCCGCCTGAAGCCGCAACCCCTGCACTGCTGCCTGACCTCGCACGTGTGTGCATGTGTGTGCGTGTGTGCGGGTGTGTTTGTGCGGTGTGTGCGTGTGACACGTCAGCCGCTGGGCGGCTCATCGCCCCGCCCGCGTGCGCTCGGAAATGTTTGCGTGTGAATGTGTGCATGAGTGTGATTGTGTGTGCGTGTGCGGGTGTGTGGTTGTGTGTGTGCGTGTGCGGGTGTGTGGCTTGTGCGTGTGCGTGTGCGTGTGCGTGTGCGCGTGCGCGTGCGAGTGCGTGTGCGTGTGCGTGTGCGCGCGTGCGTGTGGGTGGGTGGGTGTGTGGGTGTGTGGGTGTGTGTGTGTGTGCGTGCGTGTGCGTGTGCGCGCGCGTGTGCGCATGACAAGTTCGCGTGCGTGTGTGTGTGTGTGTGTGTGTGTGTGTCTGCGTGTGTGCGTGTGTGTGTGCGTGCGTGTGTGCGTGTGTTTGTGTGGGCTTGTGTGCGTGTGCGCGCGTGCGAGCGTGCGCGCGTGCGTGCGTGGGTGGGTGGGTGCGCGTGTATGCTTGTGTTTGTCTGTGTGTGTGTGTGTTTGAATTTGTGTGTGTGCGTGCGCGTGCGTGCGCGTGCGTGCGTACGTGCGCGAGCGCGTGCGCGTGTGTGCGTGCGCGTGTGTGCGTGCGCGTGTGTGGGCGGGGGGCGGTCTATGTGTGTGCGTTTGTGTGTCTATGTGTGTGTGTGCGTGTGTGCGTGGGTGGGTGGGTGGGTGGGTGGTTGGGGGGCGGGGGGCGCGTGTGCGCGGGTGTGTGCGTGTGCGTGTGTGTGTGGTGTGTGTGTGTGTGTGTGTGTGTGTGTGTGTGTGTGTGTGTGTGTGTGCGTGTGTGTGCGTGTGCGTGTGCGTGTGCGTGCGTTCGTGCGTGTGTGTGTGTGTGTGCTGGTGCGTGCGTGTGCATATGTCCGTGCGGGTGCGTGTGCGTGCGCGTGTGCGTGTGAGTGTACGTGTGCATAATTATGCGTGTGTGTGCGTGTGTGCGTGTGTGTGCGTCGGTTTGTGGACGTGTGTGGATGTGTGTGCGCGTGCGTGTGTATGTGCGCGCGTGCGGGTGTGCGTGCTTGTGCGCGTGCGTCTGTGGGTGCGTGCGTGTGTGAATGCGTCCACGTGTGAGTGCGTGAATCTGGCCGTGTGCGCGCGTGCGCAAGCGTGCGCGCGCGCGTGCGCGCGCCCGCGTGCGCGTGTGAGCGTGTGCGTGCGCGTGCGTATGCGTGTGTGTTTGCGTGCTGGTGCCGGCGCGGGTGCGGGCGCAGGTGCGTGTGTGTGTGTGTATGTGTGCGTGTGTGTGTGTGTGTGCGTGCGCGCGTGCGTGCGCGCGTTCGGGTGCGCGTGCGCGCGCGCGTGGGCGCGTGTTCGCGTGCGCGCGCGTGCGCGCGTGCGCGTGTAGGCGTGGTCGCGCGTGCGCGTGTGCGCGCGTGCGCGCGTGCGTGCGTGTGTGCGGATGCGCGTGCGCGTGCGCGCGTGCGCGCGCGTGCGCGTGTGCGCATGTGTGCGTGTGTGCGTGCGTGCGTGTGCGCGTGCGCGCGCGTGCGTGCGTGCGCGCGAGCGCGCGCGTGCGTGCGCGCGCGCGGGCGTTCTTGATTCCGTTTGTTCGCAGGTGTGCGCGCGTTGCCAAGCTGCGCGCGCAGCGGCCGCCGGGGCCGCGCGACCAGGCCCCGAGGACCGATCGGCCAAACCAATCAACGCAACAGCATGGGCCCCACGCCCAGAGACCACAGGTGGACACGGCGGGACCAGCACAAAGTGCGATCGCAGAACGCTCGGCGCAGACCACACGAAGCGCGGAAAATATATGCACACGCGTTACAAGTCATGCCAATAACAAATCAAAACCTCGGAGGCCCCCCCCGCCCCACCCCGCGCGGAGCGCGCGCATGAGCTAAGAAGGCGGCCGCCAAAGCGGCCAGAAAAATCAGATCAATCAGCGGAGAACGGCCCCCGTGTCCGCCGACCCCGCGAGGGTCTCTAGGCGCGCGAAAATGGCCCACCCCATATCCCCCCTGGGGCCCCAAGCAAGCAATTTGACCCCCCCCCAGGCCTGGCACGACCCGCCGTCAATCTCATTCGGGAGCGCTCGGCCCTTCTCGGGCTGCCAAGACAGCCCCTGAGGCCTCCGAAGGCCCCCCCGCGCGGTCCAAGAGGGCCCCGACTCGCCGAAATATCACTCCAAGCTACCCACGATGGCCTCCACACGGCCCAACATGTTTCGAAGATGCCCTACGAGGCCTCTAACAGCCCCCCCCAGAAGGCCGCCAGAAGCCAAAATCGCCCCAGCTCTTTTGGGTTAAAGTATACTTTTAGCAGATTCGCCTCCGGGGTCAGGAAGCCCCCGCGAGGGCTCCAGGACGGCCCAAGACAGCTCCAAGACGGCCCAACGCGGCCAAGAAACCCCCGGGCCGGCCGAAGAGGGCACCATAATGGCCCCAAGAAAAGGCCCAGAAGGGGAACCCGACCGGAAATTCCAACCCGCCGGCACCAAGACGCCCCCAGGTAGTCCAAGGAAGCACCCTACAAGCCCCGCCTCCGGGAACCCCAAGATCCCCGAAAAGGCCTCCGGGAACCCCAAGATCACCGAAAAGGCCAGCAAGACCTCCCCTGGAGGCCCCTCCAAGAACAAACTGGCCCCCGCACGCCCCCAAGAGCCCTCCCGCGAGACCCCGGCGAGCCATCCGAGCGGCCTCAAGCCACAGACTTGTCCGCGGTCCGGGCACCTGCGCACTGCCTTCATATCCAAAGTGAAACCACGCGTTCTGGGGCTGCTGGAGTCGCCACGAGCGGCCCCGGAGGTCTATGCTCGTGTCCGTAAACCGGATCCTCACTTGTGCACCTCCCCCTTTTCCCCCTCGCCCTCCTTCGCCATCCCGCTCCACCTACTCCACATCCACGTGCGCCCCTCCCCCCGCTGGCCTGTGCGGCCCCGGGCATCGACGCAGCAAATCCCCAGGACAGCAATGGGAGGTCCCCGACTAGATTAAGGGGTCGGCGGATGTGGCGCAAGCCTGTGGGATCTTCGGGTCTTTGCCTGAAAGAGTCACGTCTCGCCCCCGCCCCCTGACGCGACCTGCATCGTCGCCCTTCAACGGGGGGGCCAACGCAGGCCCCCCCAAGCTCGCGTCGCAGCCCGTGGCGCTCACGCATCAAATAACAACGCCGCATGCAAATTCGAAACCCATGCTCGAAGCGAATTTCATGACCGCGTCCGCCAGTCGACCCACTGCCCGACGCCGACGAGGAAGGCGCCTGGCTGGAACTGGCTGCGGCGCCCAACTCCGCGCCCCGACCAGCCTCGCAAGCATGCTCGTCACCCCCTGCCTGCGAAGCAAGCCTGCGAAACCGCCGCCATGCCGAGCAGTGCACCTATAGCACCGATGCCTGCCGCGGCGGCCGGCCGCTCGGCCCCTGAGGCCACCCCGCCCGCGAGCGCATCGCAGGCGGCTGGCCGCGGAACGCACGGCCTGGAGAACAGCTGGCGCTTCGTCTCTCGGTCGCTGCGAATCGCCCGCAGTTCGAGCACCTCCACCAATCTGCCTCGATCGCGAACTCCTGCTCGGCGAGGCTGAGATTGATTCTGGGCGGCTGCTTGATGACCACCCCTGCGTTAATGTCATCTCTGGCCGCTGCGGCGGGAGCCCCAGCGACGGCGACACAAGCGGCGACCCCGCCCACCATGAGGTCGGCGCGCCTGAGCCTCTCACGATCTGCCGGCGCACACGCGCATGGGCGCGTGGCTAGCCTTGCCCGCCGGTCAGCCTCGAAGTCCCCCCGCCTATCACGAAGGGTCAACCGTTCAGCTCCAACGTCACGAGCCGCTCTATGTCCTTTGACTTTGCGCACTGCGGGCACGCGCTCCACAATGCCGCCAAAATCTTCAATAGCATCCCGTTCCAAAGACCACAAGATTGCCCAACTGTCGTTGCTGCGGCAGGTGCCTCCACGACCGCGGACAAGTGGGCCGTCCGCCACATTGCCGGCATCTACGCGCAGCGCCAGGGCCCCCCCGCCTTCAATCGACTGGTGTAAGAACGCCTTGCGTGTCCAGGCTGCTTTCGCGAAGTCAGCGGGAATGGAGGTGGCACAAGGCTCCAAAGATGGGCAACTGGGCGACGGCGGTTTGAAGGATGCTCTCACAGAGTTCGTTAAGTGTCAGGCGGAAAAAGAGAAGCAGACAACTAAACCCAAAGGGTTGTCTTTCAATTACGCCAAAAGGATCGAAGACGTAGGCCTATCAGAGTTTCCACCAGAAGCTCTGCCATCAGACGATCTTCTGGCCAAGTGGGAAGCGGCCGGAAAGATAGCTGCAGAAAAGGGCCGCGTCTACGTCGGCAGTGCTGACGCAGATGACCTGATGGCATTGCACCGGCCAGCGTGGACGAGGTCGCCAGCAATCGATTTGATGCCGAGCGGCGGCAGTTGGGATGATCGGCTCAAAGCCGCGCTCGACATGAAGAAGGCACGCTCCTTGGAAGAACGTGTGCACTACCAGGGCTTCGCCACTTTCCTGGGGCATGTGTTCTCGTGGGGCCTCAAGCTCGTCATGATGAAGGTTTGCTCTCAGACGCACCTCCTGTCGTATGTCTTCATCCTCACCCGGGTGGCGGAGGAGCATGGTGGTGTGGCCACAGCGTACCACTATGACGTCAAGGTGCGGAAGGAGATGGCCACGGAGCTGGAGCGTGAGAAGCCCAACGTGCTGCGCTGGCTCCTTGAGCTGAACGACGACACGGCCAGGGCAGCAAAAGATAAAGCGCAGTCTGGCGCTGGCAGGGTTGCAAAATTCGCATCGGCTGCTGCAGCGGGGTCGTCTGCTCAGAGCGCCGCTGGGAATCACGGTCGTGGCAGCGGCGGCAAGGCTGTCGGCAAGGGCGGCAAGAGTGGCAAGGGCGATAACCGGCCCGTGCGTTCGCC